GCAGCCATAAAGCACCAGCCGCGTTGCCGCCTGCCAGCTGTGCCCTCGCTGGGCACTGTCCAGGGCACACTGGGTGACGCTTACTCCTTCCAGGCACACACCTCCCTCCCTTTGTAAACCATTCTAACCAAGGAAGCATTTACACAAAAGAGATACACACCACACACACACACCAAGAACCCCCTGTTCTACCCCCAAGCTGGAACCCCTATCGAGTCACCAAGGCTGGTACTGAATACTGACACCCACAGTTTGTGGTGAACTCCTGGCTTCTCCTGAGCGTGGTACCCACTCCTCCGAACGCCTCAACTCTCCCACAGTGCAGGGCCCAGGTGGGGCCGCCCCCAGATTCACAGAGTCCTGCACAGCCTCTGGGTGGGGGATGGGGGGTGAGGTGGGGAGAGGAGCAGGCAGGGCCCCTCTGATCTAGCCCCCGGGCTGGGCTCCTCCTGGGACACAGCCCGCCCTCCCAGAGCCCAAGTTTCCTCCGTCGAATGGGAACTGGGTCTACTTGCTGCCCCTCAGTTTGCCATCAGGCTTGGAAGAGGCCCCGGGTGTGACCAGTATGTAGGTCCCCAGGTGGCTGTTGCTTCAGACATACACACCTGGCCTTGATCATACACTGACCTCCTATCGCTGGAGAAGCTCTGAGTGAGGAGGCTTGGTGCCTGGCTCCTCCCTTCCACATCCTCCAGTGCCCAGCCAGCTGGCCTCACAGGGAAATACCTTGCTTCACTTCCTGGAGGATAATGGCACTTGGGGAAGCTGCTCTGCCCCAGATTCTCCCTGGGGTCAGGAGCTGCCAGTTGAGTGAGATGGCATCACCCTCTACCTTGAAGTACACTTCCTGGACCCGGGGCAGCAAGTAGGTCCTGCCTTGGGCTCAGCCCAGCCAACCTCTAGGCGGGTGACAGCCTGGGACAGGCGGACCAGAGGTTAAGAGAATGGACTGTGAAGTAAGAGTCTGGATTCAACTCACAGTCACTTACTGCCACAGAACCTCTCCAAGTCTCCGTTTACTCATCTGCAAAATGGAGAAATGTGGAAACATTAAGTACAGTGTCTGACAATGTTGTCTGTAACCTAACAGGCTCCAAACAACTCCTGTGTCTGTCTGCCTACTTCCCCTCCCCCATCATGACTCTGGAGCTGGCGTGTCTCAGGGAGTCCATCACTGCCGTCCACGTGTTAGCCCTCCCCGACGGGCGCTGGGAGAATATCGATGGGTGGAGGAACTGAGGTATGATTGAAAGTCAGTCTGAAGTCAAGGGTGAGCTATGGGAGAGGAGAAATCAAGGCTAACTGGAGCAATCTGGGAAGGCTTGCTATTAGAGCAGGCCTGGTGCAATGTTGATAGGATTAGAATGGGTGTGCAAGAGTGGAGGTGAGACTGAGACGGGGAAAGTAACAGTCATTTACTTGGGAGACTTGGGGGAAGGAAGGCAAACTAGGGGAGCCATGAATGCCAGGTGAGGGGGATACGGCCACTCTCAGAGGCAGCAGGAATCAAATCTGGCCAAGTTGCTGCCCTGCTTCCAACTGCCAAGCTGAGCACTCAAGGTCCCCAGTTCCCCACCCCCACTTCCCAGCACTCCCTGCCCCTCATTCCCATGTGCCTGAGGTTACTTCTGCCTGGAATGGCTTCCATCCACCACCCACCACCACCACCACCACCACCACTCCCCTCCCCCCACACCCACCTCTGCTTCTTCCCCACTCCTGGCCTCTTCACTGCGTAAGCCCATCCAGCCTTGCTTTTTCTGTTCCTCCCATTTCTCTCATTCTCCACCGAGGAGGAGAACCAGGAGCCAACTTCCCTTCCAGTGCTCCGGTCCTGGCTCTCCCCTTCACCAGCGGCGGCATCACACCAAGCTGAAAGCACAATCAACTAGAACCTGGGAGAGGAGATGCCGGTGGCCCACCAGCACGGATAGAGCTCTGGGCCGACAGTGTGGGAGAGCGGGCACTCGTGTGTCACTAAACCTCTGTCACATCCGCTCCTTTCTCCCAGTCCCCACCCTGCGCCTGGAATCCGCAACCATCTCCGCTCCTTTCCGGGAGCCTTAGGACTCTTCTTTCTTGAGCCTGTGGGACAGTGGAGCAGGCCCAGGCCACGTGGGTTTAGGGACAGACACCAAAACAGGTGGAGATACCCTGAGCGCCAAGCCTGGCCTGGTGAAGGGCAGTCTGTTTCAGGAGTCCCGTCTCACCCTCACCGAAAGAACACAGAAGGGTACAGTTCCTAGCGTGGCAGGACTGGACTTCGAGGGGCAGCTGGAACAAACAGGAGAGCACATTCTCAGACACTGCCTGGATCTCCATAACAAGGCACTGCTTCCTCTGGTGGAATCAACAGCGACTTTTTAAAAAATCTGGTTACTTTCCAAACACCTCCAGATTCTTCTCACTGGGGGAGGGCCTGGGTGAAGACTCAGGCCCAGGTCCCCCCTGTCTCCCACTGCAGCCCCCAAACTACCAGGCTGGCAGGAGGGAGGTGAGTGGGCCATTCGGGGACAGCTCTGTGGGATCCCAGGGCCGCGAGTGGGGAGGAAGGTCCTCCTTCCCACCACCAGGCCTGGACAAGCAGAGCCACTCTGCCCCAAGCAAATCAACTGAAAGCCTTGGCCAAGCCTGTTTGCCTTGGTGAGGGCCCAAGTGGGAATTCCAATCTGCCAGTGTTTGCTCTACAGGCAAATAGAGCCAAACAGAAATGCTGCTTTGGGACTCTGAGCCAAATATCCACCGGCCTGCCCTGCCAGCAGTGTTGGGCCAGCCCTCCGCATGTCACCGCTCACAGTTCTCTGCTCTGTGACAGCCTTCTGCCTTTGCCCTTAAAAACAGCTCACCCCACCCAGTGGCCTGTGCTCATGACTTCCCTGCTGGGCCTGGCACCCAGACCTTCCCGCCAGGCCCGCCCTTCGTGTGCCCATTCTGCACCCAGTCACCCCCAGTGCCTGACCGCTGCTCCCTGCTCTCACTTACTCTCTTGCCACCGCAACTCAGCCCCTAACTGGCATAGCCCACTCTGCATCTGGCCACCAAGCAGAGGCAGAGCTGCCAGCCAGAAAGCACAAACCATAAGCTGACTGTGTCTTTTTTTACACTCTCATGTGTATTTTATTTGATCTTTATAGCTGGTCCGTTTATCAGCCCATTTCTCAGAGCAAACCGCTGAGACATACTCCTAAGGTCACCAGATGAAGGAATCCAGGTGTCCTGACTCCAAAACCTCGGTGCTTTCTAACTTGCCTCCCTGAGGGAAGTCTCGAGATGCCTGGGGCATTGCCCACTGAGAGCAGGTGGAAGGAAGTGTTTTCATATCCCCCTGAACGAGGCTGGCACAGCCAGGGTGAGCACTTGGCAATATCTGCTTTCCCCCCTTCCCCCTCCTGGAGCCATTGCCAAGGCCCACCAGCCCTGTGCCTGCCCACCAGAGCACCCCTGGAAGCCACTGGCCCCCCTGGTCAGGCATTGAACGCATAGGCCCTGAGCTCCTGCCTGCCCTCCAAGGGCACAGACACCCTGCTAACCTAGGCCCACCTCCCAGGCCTTGGCACAAAGCTCTCTCCACCCCAGGGAGCAGCTAGGTTACAGTCCCTGCCCCAGAGGGCTCTCCAGAGCATGGCCACAGGCTGCACTCTCCAGAGTTGTTCACACAAGTCTCAATTTGGTCCTGAGAACGTGAACATTTGCAAATGGAAATGACTTGAGTATCTTAGAAGATGCGTGCTCTCTGCAAACATCACTTCCTCACGGAAACTTTCTTCCAGTCTGACTGGACTTCTGTCTCCCCCACACAGCCGTAGGCACCAGGGGGCCAGGACTAGATTGTGGGCTTCTCTTCATAGAACCCCCAGCACCGAACACAGTTCAGTAAACAGTCAATGTATAAACGAAACCATGAATATAGGCTTCCACCTGCCTTTGTCATGGGACCTCAAGGGACTTTGTCATGGGCCTGGAGCCCATGGGACCCTTTTGTCCAGTCACTCCCAACTCTACTGACATGTTTTCTGCTGACCTGACTCCCCAGTGTGGGTGTGGTATCCTTCCGTACTCAGCTATGGGTGCTGGTCTCCCCCACCAGGTCTCCCCAGAACCCGCCCCTCCCTCTGTCTGAGATGTCACTGCCAAGGTGACAGGCCTCAAGAAGACTCCCCAGCCGTGGAGCAGAGGGAAACAGCCAGACCTCTGGCTTGGCCCATTGGGAACAGGGGGTACCAGCCACCCTGCCCTACCTGGGCTTTCTGATGGCCCCGTCATGACTAGAGCAGTGGGGACCAGGCCCTGGACAACTCTGGCAGTCATGTGACTAGGAATGTTGCAGAAAATCACACCTTTTCCGTGGGGAGTCCTAACCAACCGTAAGAGGGGAAGCAGCCCAAAGTGCCTGTAGCCAGCCAGACCCGCCCACCCTGAACTCCATGGCCACACAACAGAGTCCTGCCAGACAAGGTTGCATGCCTGGCGCAGCACGACCACTGTGAGCCTAGGAGAAAGCTGAGACGACTCCAAAGAGGGCTCCCCAGAGCACGGGGCCCCCAGAGAGATGCCGCTCTGCCAGGTGTGTGTGTGGGAAGGGGGTGTGGGGGGCCATAGGTGAGCCCAGTGGAGGTTTCGAGGGAAGAGGTACATCAGCTCAAAGGGCCAGGCACTCAGGGCTGCTGGGCCTGGGCTCCTCAGGTGGCTTCCCCAGGAACACAGTGGGTTCTTGCTGCTGGGGTCAAGGAGGAGAGACCCAGCGTGGCCCTGGAAGTGGCCACAGACCAGGATGAGTCTTGAGCCTCCTTCTCTCACTCCCACGGCCTAGCTGTGTCATGCGGCGGATGGTGTCAGAGGATCAGGCTTTATGAGCACCTGTCCAGACCCAACCCCCAAAGGTGGGGAAACGCCATGATCACAGCATCCGTGACGAGGCGGGTTCAGAAAGCCTGTGTTTAATGGGGGCTGCCACGGCCGGGAGGCCCTCGGCGCCGGGGGCCCAGCCACACTACTTCTCCTCAATCCTTGCTGACGATTGTCGACTGCTTCCTCTGGGGCAAGTCTTCGAGCATCAGGTTCAGCACGTGCACAATCTCGTAATACAGCTCTTGGAGCCTGCAAGTGGGCAGGAGAGGGCCTGAGCACAGGGGCGGCTCTATGCCACCGGGCTCCCCCATCGCACGCCTGCACTTGGCACTCACCACCCCTAGCAGGTGTGGGGTCAGGAAAGAGCGAGGAATATAGAGCCCCGTCAGGTGCCAGAACCCAGGTTTGCCATTCCATTCCACCTGTGCCCTGGGTGGAGTCATTTCACTGCCTGAGTCAGGGTGGGGACAACAAACGCCTGGGCTCTGTGTGGTGACTGCAGAGAAGACCAGACCCTGCCTGGTGGGTGTTCCCTGATGCCCTCCTTCCAGTTCCTCCTGTCCACAAAGCCCTCCAGGAGACGGCTGTCAAGAAGCTAAGCTAGCCGAAACCGGTTTGGCTCAGTGGATAAGAAAGGCCCCAGGTTCAATTCCAGTCAAGGGCATGTATCTTGGTTGCGGGCATATCCTCAGTGGGGGGTGTGCAAGAGGCAGCTGGTCGATGTTTCTCTCTCATTGATGTTTCTAGCTCTCTATCCCTCTCCCTTCCTCTCTGTAAAAAATCAATAAAATATATTTTTTTAAAAAGAAGCCGAAACCAATTTGGCTTAGTGGATAGAACAATAAAATATATTTTTAAAAAAGGAGAACTAGAAGAAGAAGAAGCTAAGCTAGTTATCCTGTCCCTCCTTGATCAAGAGCCCAAGGTGGCTCCTTAATGCCCATGCTCAGGTCCCCTTCCTGGCAGTAATGGCAGTAAAACCCCAGCTACCTTGCACGGAGCACGGTGCTAGGCCAGGCCAAGCTCTCATTTCCATAGAATGGGCCCAGCAGTCCCCCCATGAGGCAGGTGGGAAAAGGGCAGAGACTTGCCCAGAGTCACGGAGAAAGGCCCTAGCACAGTGGTCGCCAAACTGCGGCTGGAGAGCCGCATTTGCCGCTCTGTTGACTAATGAGTTTGCTGACCACTGGGATAGGGACTTAATCACAAGGAACAACAGCAGCCTGTAATGATTGGAATTGAGAGTCCAGGTCAGTGGTCGGCAAACTCATTAGTCAACAGAGCGGCGAACCGCAGCTAGAGAGCCGCATGTGGCTCTAGAACCACAGTTTGCCGACCACTACCCTAGCAGATCCAGGCCAGGAGCCTCAGCTCTTTCCTCTGCCCCTGAGAAAGGGTTAGTGAGGAAGGGTCTGGAGAGACCAAGGAGCCAGCATTTAAATACAGGCCAGGGGGCAGAGTCTAGCCCCTGTGCATACGTGGAACCCTGTACCCCACGAAGGGCCTGGCTCTGCCCAGCCACTGCCCCCTTGCTTTCCTAGGGCACCTGTCATGGCCGTGCCCTAAGGAAGTGAGGCCAGGAAAGTCCTGGCACCCTTGGGCTAGGTCAGCGGTGCTGGGACTGACTTGTAAATCGTCGCGTCCTGGTTGTCCAGAGTGGCCAAGTAGATGTCGATGAAAGGCAGGCTGGTGGCAAAGTCATCCAAGACCATGGGGTCAGTGTGCTGCAGGGTGTTCTTGAAGTTCTCCACCAGCTCACTGAAACTTTTGCAGTCCACATTTGCCTAGAGAGGGAGGCACAGAGACATCAGTGACCAGGAGGAGGTGACTCTCAAGATGTACAGAAACATGGGGACCCTCCACAAGGGGCCCAGGCGAGGGGCTGGCCCTGGCCCTGTCTGAACTCGGACTCTCTGCCCGAGGGAGCCTCCTGAGCTACCATCACTGAGAGCAGGTGACACAGAAAGGGACCGGCGAGTGCCAGAGTGGGGTTCAGCATGGCCTCACCTGCCCAGAACGAACCTTGAACACAGTCAAGAAAGGCAGATGTCTGCCTCAGGGCAGAGGCTGAGGAGGGAGGTGCTGGCCACATGAGGAGAGAGGGACAGAGTCCGGCTCAGGACCTGGCAGAGCACCAGGGCTCCACGCAGGGAGCTCAGAGCACTTGGGCTGGAAAAAGAAGACGCCCAGCCCTATTCAGCTGTCTCCTGCCGGACAGAACCTCCAGCCTGCTCTGCTCATTCTTGTTCGGTTTAGAAACCCAGGTTAGGAACCCCTGTCAGGGCCTCCGTGGACTCACCCACGCAGGGGACGGAGGCCGTGCCTGCCTGGTGCCCAGTGAGGCCTCGGTAACAAGAGCACTGCAGACCCAGGAAGGAGAGAAATACTACTGTAACCACAGCACTCCGCATTCACGGGTCCAGAGAAATACAAATGCACAGGAAATAAAGCTTGGTCCTGGGAAATACAGGAGTTATTACCTGCCTCACCTAAGGCCGCAGAAGCCTGAGGCCACCTCCCACTCTCGTTCTTTTGGCCATTGCTTCTGCCCAGACTGTCCATGCAGGTGCTGCCCACCGGCCCGTGGAGATCACCTACCTGTGTCTTCATCAGCCTGCTGACCTCCTCCTGCTGCCGCTTCACGATCACCTGCTTCTCTTTTATGAGTGTCATGTGCCTCTCCAGCATCAGCTCCCGCTCAAACTTTTTGATGGAGTTCTGGAGAGTGGGGTGGGATGACGAGGGAAAGTGAGGGCTCCCGCTGCATACTCCCACCCCCCGTCTTTCTTCTTCCCCAGCCTTACACGGCCGCTCAGACCCCTTAGCAGAAGGAACCCTCCATACAGGGCCAGCCCCCAACTCAAGCTGCCAATGCAGCTGCAGTGACTTCCCACGCTCCTGCCCACCTGGGCCCCTCCCCTCCGCTTTAGGATGGAGAGAGCTCAGGTCCTCCCTGGAGACTTGGCCCACAGCCCTGCCTGTCACACCAAAGCCGACCCCAGTCCTTACGCACACAGCCTCACCTCAGTGTGCATGATCATCACACCCACAAACATGCTGAGGAAGACGAAGGAGCCAAGCAAGATGAAGATGATGGTGAATGCTCGGCTCAGAACAAAATTCCTCTTGTCCAGCTGCTCCTGCAGGTCTGTCCAGCCATCAACCTGCTCGGGCAGGAGAAAGATGCCAAGTGTCAAGGCCCAGCGGTGTAAGCCTCCTGCTCACCTACCTTAGGGGAGCCCTCACCCCACTAGATGGAGGTTGTCACTTCCTCCATATCAGCCCCCAGCACACAACCCCAATCCACTGAGCCCAGTGCAGACGGGTGGTACAGGGCACCACTCCTTGGGTGGGGGCACTTCTGGCCAAGGTGCCCTGGGGGTCTGCTCCAAAAGGCTTCCCATCCTTCCCCAAAGACACGTCCTCTCTGCCATGGCCTTCTTCAGATAGACTCCAGTCTTTCCAGAGCCCAACAGAGTCCAGACTGCTAGACTTGGGTGTCACTTCTAAATTAAACTTAATCCAAATGGATCATCTTTTGAGAACTCTGAAATTTTTACAACCCTGTGAGACATGCTCTAGGGAGTCACAAGATTAGGGACAGAGAGGGACCCCTGGCCAGGACACTAGTTCTGCCTCAGCTTCCCCAGCTCAGCGAAGTGTCCAAACATGGGGTAGGCCCCACGGGAAGCACACACTCACACTGGCTGACAGTCCCTTCTCAAGGCCCCTTCCCCCACCACAGTTCCCAAACACAGTACCGTCGCCAAGCTGAAGAGGGTGAAGAAGGCCGAAGCCAGATTCCCCCAGTTTTCCAGGTCGCCCTCATTTGGATCTCCAAACAGGAAGAAGCCCAGGATAGCGAAGAGGTACATCAGGAGGAAGAACAGGATGAGCACAGAGGCCACAGTGTAGAATGTCTGCCCAATGGCGGTGATGAGTGTCTGCAAGGCAGAGGCACGGGACTAGGCAAGGCTGCAGGCGGGGTAAGGCTCAGGTGTAGTCTGCCCAGACCACAGCTGTCCCCAGCATCCAGTGCCCTGTTTGCATGTGGTAGATGCTCTACCAATGGTTGTATGGAAAGTTGATGGAGGAGAAAGGGAGGGAGGGAGGGAGGGAGACAAAAAGAAGGAGGGAGGGAGGGAGGAAAACGAGTGAAGGAGGGAGGGGAGCTCTGCCCAGATTGAGGGCTGGGCCAATGCCTGGCCTCCACTCTCTGTCTTGTGAACTTGGTCTCAGCTCCCACTACATTGCTGCCTGCTGGGGAGCATTGTGCATAGCTCCTCATCATTCATTCTCCTTGTATGTAGTAGGTACTCAATACATGTTCACCTACATAGATGCTGTCACAGACATCATTTCAAGATAGGTAGGTGTTATCATTCTTCCCACATCAAGATGAGGGGTCAGAGGCTCAGAGAAGAAAAGGGCTTGGCCAGGGTCACACTCCAATACAGTGGCGGAACATGGGCCCAACTCTCAAGACCTTTGCCTCATGCCACCACCTTCACTCCTCGGCCTCCCCAGAGGAACCTCTCTTGCCTGAAGACATCACTCCCCAGCAGCCCTCTCCAGGGAGTCTGACTGTCCCCCACGGCCTGATGCAGGAGGCCACTTCTGCCCTATCCTCAGAGCCTCCGCCTCCGTGGACAAAGCCCCTGCTTCTGAGCAGGGCAAACCTTCCAGCTTCCCCCTCCACCCCGTGTCTCAAAATCTCTCCCTCAGGCTCCACCCCATTCTGCTGCCATCCTGGGGTCTTCAGCATCTCTATGGATACCCACCATCCCCCAGGTCTCCTTGTTGCTTGACTTCCTCATCTCCAGCGATCCTTGCACCACTTTGGACCCTCCTGCCTTGGTGCCCCCGGCCTGGCACTTACCTCCCAGTATTCTCTCCTGGCCACCCACCTTACTCTTCAACCTACACTTCGACTCCAATGCCCAGCACCTTAGATACTTCCACCCCTACTTCCAGGTCACTTACTGGGTCTGTCTCTAGCCTACAAACAAGGGGAGCGAGGCTCAGGTTTCCAAAGGAAGGGCATCCTGACATGACGTGCACTTGAGTGATTCCCCCAGCTGCTGGGACATTTCTGGTCCAAAACTCTCCAGAGTGTGGGAAGTCATTGCAGGAATTCAGGTAAAGGTGGATGGATGGTGATAGATTAAAAAAAAAAATGGTGACTATAGGGGAAAAAAAAAACAGTCAATATCTATATTAGGAGGCCATACAACAGGACTTTGGGTGAGAGGAATCAAAGCTAACGTTCAGCTTTCTTACTTGGAAGTTGAATAGAGCTGGAGGGGTACCCTTTCAGCAAAAGATAAAATAGAGGAGGAGGCGCCAAGGTTTGGGAATCTGAGAGGGGGGATGGGGAGAGTGATAACTTGTAGTTTAGACACATCGAGTTTGAGGAGAATGCAAGATGCCCAGGAGGCAGTTGGGTCTGAAGGTCAAAGAGAGAGATGTGGGCAGGTAAAGACTCCTGAAAAGTGGAAAAGATCACCCAAAAAGAACATGCAAAGAGGAGAACTCAGGACATAGTTCTTAGAAAACAACACTTAGGAGCCTGGTGAGGGAAATATGTACCCAAAATATGCCCAAGCAGCAGGAGGAAAACCACGAAGAGGCAGGAAAAAGAATGCCAGGGGAAATGGCCAGTGGACTTGGCAACAAGGAGGTTGTTGGTAACCTCAGAGAGACTAGCTGCTTGGAGTAGAGGGAAGAAGCCAGGGCACAAGTGCCAGATAAGGAAGTGGGGTCTGGGGGTATAGACACCTCTCCCCAAAAGCTTCACCACAAGGAGGAGGGCTGGACTCCATTGTTTGGGAGGGAACACATACACGTGTGTGACTCTGTGAGGGCAAGGAATGAATGACTGGGGCCCTGTGGTAGGGGGAGCCCCTTAACATTTTCCTTCTCTTCTCCCCCTAGGAGTGGGGTCCCTGAGTGTCAGGCCTAGGCCCTGGACAGACACACAGGCTAGGCTGGAAGTGATTTCTCAGCCAAACAGGCTAACACACCCTAACTGGTCAAGTAGGTCCAAATCTGAAGCGTGGACACTGGGTGCCGAGCCAGGGCAAACATCCTGCATCCAGGCGGAATACGAAGGGCACGCTTGGGTCAGCTCTGAGATTGGTTCTGAAACCTTCTCAGCCAAGGAAAGGCTGGTCACCCCTTCTCAGCAGGAGCAGCACTGCCGGAGCCACCTGAACCACGTAATGAGACTGTTCCCATCGAAAGCAGCAGCAGAGTTATAGCTGTTTGGGGAAAGTAGGCTGCCAGAAAGCTGGAGCCCCCGGGCATGTAGTTTGAAGAGTCTGTGCCATGAGAAGATTGTCCGCCTTACACCACGGCGAGAGGGAAAGGCCAGGCGGCCTCTAGAGCGAGATCCACCTTTTCCAGTCCCGGGCATCACCTGCTGAGGGACCTGGGGCCTCCATTTCTTTATCGATAAAATGGGGCTAATACCACCTTTCCCACAATTGTTTTAAGATTTACTGAGATCATCTCAGTAATGATCAACCTGCTGTGTAGTAGGACTCAATAACTGGATGATAGGAGCACAATTATTATCTCAACAGGGGCTGGCGGGCAGATAGGCCCTGCCACATACTCCCAGGTCACTCACCCGGATGCCCCGACTATAGGTGATAAGCTTGAGGATGCGCAGAGACTGTATGCCATCCCCAATCTTGAGGTGAGGGTAGTGCTTGCCCTTGATCTTGCGGAGAGTATAGGGGATTGAAATAACGATGATAATCGTCAAGTCTAGCAGGTTGTAGCCGTTCTTCCAGAAGTCAATGGGTTCGGCATAGAGCTTCATATAGAACTCGGCGCTATATATGGCCACAAAGAAGATCTCCGAGACCTGCAGAAGTGGCAAGGTTTGGGGGGGTCAGATCTATAGTCCTGGCCCTCTCCTCGCTCAGACCACCCAACCAAGAGTGCTCTGGCTGGGGGTAGGGGCTCCTAAGTCACCCACATGAGAGAGAGAGAGAGAGATCCAGGCAGAGTCCCTGACACACAGTACACACACAATGTGCCTGATTCCCTTCTCCTTCTGTCTTCCCTGCCCCCCCGGTCTGAAGCCTGGTGCTAGGTTTGACCCAGGATACTTGGGAAGGACTGACTGACCGACAGGCTGAAGGACTAGACAGGCCCCAGGATGAGGCCACACAGCATGATGAGCTCCCTGAGGGTAAGCTTTCCCAAAGGAGAGGGCTCAAGCGTCTCCTGGCCAACCTGAATATCCAAACTTCTATACACAGATGAAATGCACATCTCCTCGCACTTATTCTATTTAACCTCATACTTTCACGCCAGTTAACTCATCTGTTTCTAAACAATATGCTGCCTTCTTCCCATGTTTATACTTTATGAATTAATCTTACTCAAGCTCTTATGCTTCCACAATTCCAGTGGCTTTGTATTTACTAAAAGGCACATTTTTATTTTTATTTCTTTCTTTGTCTTTTGCGTATCTCAACTTTTATTTATTTTTTTAAATAATTCTTTATTGTTGAAAGTATTGCATATGTCTCCCTTTTACCTCCATTTACGCCCTTTAGCCTGAGCCTTCCCCCTCCCCTCGGCCCCTGGACCTCAGCACCCTATTGTTTGTGTCCAAGGGCTACGCATCTATGCGCACAAGGTCTTTGGTTGATTACCTCCCATTCTCCCCCAAATTCCCTCTAAGATTCCCCACTCTGTTCCATGCTTCAAGTCTCTGATCCATTCTGTTCATCAGTTAATTTTATTCATTAGATTCCACATATGAGTGTGATCGTGTGATACTTTTCTTTCTCTGACTGGCTTATTTTATTTAGCATGATACTCTCCAGATCCCTCCATGCTATTGCAAAGGGTAAGAGAGTCTCCTTTTTACTGCTGTATAGTATTACATTGTATAAATGTACCACAGCTTTTCTATCCACTCATCTACTGATGGGCACTTTGGGCTGTTTCCAGATGTTAGCGGTTGTAAAATGTACTGCTATGAACATAGGGAGTGCATACATTCTTTCTGATTGGTACTTCGGGTTTCTTAGGATATATTCCTAGAAGTGGGATCACTGGGTCAAATGGTAGATCCATATTTAATTTTTGATGAAACTCCATACTGTTTTCCATAATGACTGCACCAGTCTGCATTCTCACCAGCAGTGCACGAGGGTTCCCTTTTCTCCACATCCTCGCCAGCACTTGTCATTTTTTAGTGTGTTAACGGTAGCCATTCTGACAGACGTGAGATGGTACCTCGTTGTCATTTTTATTTGCATCTCCCAGGTGATTAGAGACTTTGAGAATTTTTGCCTACTGTATGTCCTCTTTTGAAAAGTATCTATTTAGGTCCTTTGCCCAATTTTTAGTTGAATTGTTTGTCTTTTGTTAAGTTGTATGAGTTCCTTATATATTTTGGATATTAATCCTTCATCAGATGTATCATTGCTGAATATGTTCTCAGTGGGCTATCTTTTCTTTTTGTTGATAGTTTCTTTTGCTGTGCTGTATTTACTAAAAAGCACATTTTTAAATTTTATTGATTTCAGAGAGAGAGAGAGATGAAAAAAAATAGAAACATCAATGTGAGAGAGAAACATCGATTGGCTGCCTCCTGTATACTCCCCAACTGGGGACTGAACCCACAACCCAGGTATGTGCCCTGACCAGGAATCAAACCTTTAACCTTTTGGTATATGAGACAACACTCCAACCAATCAAGCCACCTAGCCAGGGAACAAAAGGTACTTTTTGAAATTATCTGAGTTTTTCCCTATCATCAATGCATTCATTCATTCATTCATTGAAGAAGCTTTGATTGAGCATCTACCATGTGCCAAGCAAGAATCATTCAGGCACTAGAAAATACAACAATGAATAAGACAGAAAATGTCTAGTCCCCACGAAGCTTACAAGCTTTCTGGTACTGAAGACAGAAATAAATGCTTAAACAAATTCTACAGCAGATAGGAAAGAAAATGAAACAGCCAAAGGGGATAGAGGGACTGGTCCGGTGGGGGAGGGGCAGTTGTGGCAACTATTTTAGAAAAGGTGGTGAGTGGAGGCCCCACTAAAGCTCACCAAACGGTGAGCATGAGAGCCCTAAGGTGAGGGCGGGTTGTTACAGGAACGGCAAAGTGAGCATGGCTGGAATGGAAAGGGCGAGCAGGGCAGGAGACGCAGGCCATGGAGGGAGGGCCTTGCAGGCTGGTGAGGAGGGCTCTGAGTTTTAGTCTCAGCCTTGGAGGATTTTGAGCAAGAGAGTGATATGGTCTGATTTACATTTTTAAGAGATCTCAGTTGAAAAGAGACTGTGGGGGAGCTGGCAAGCATGGTGACTGGGAGGCAAGTTAGGGAAAAGGTGATGGATATTAGAATTATTTCTAGCCACAGAAATAAACCAAGAGAGGAGGTTTGGTGGATTTGATGAGGGACAGTGTGGGGTGTGGAGAAGATGATGGATTCTGTATATCTTCTGTAGGTGGTGATGAGGGGACTTGCTCATGGTCTCAAGGGTGCACAGGAAGAGAACATGCAAGGAAGACCAGTGTTTCAGGCAGAGATACTGGGGTGCCTTTAGCTGAGATGAGTTTGGATTGGATTGGGTTGAAGGGGGCTACAGAGAGTATCTGGGAGGAAATAGAAATATTTCTGAGATATACCACCTTTTACACATATGTCAGATGCTGTAACTCTAGTCACAACTACCCATTTGGATAACATTAAGGCAGCTGGTGTTTTAACTTGTCCTGTATATTTATATTTGTGGTCTCCACATTGCGATCCTTTTACACAAAAAGGTATAAAGAATAATATGATGAACCATATACTACCACCCACCTTAAGAAACAAAGCCTTACCTTTCATATTCAGATCTCCTACCCTTCCCACAGAGGTAATCCTATTGAAAATCTGGAGTGTGTCATGTTTGTGCACTTTATACCTTCACCACATGTGTATTCCTAAAAATATATTACATCGTTTTGTATTTTATGCATTACATGATTAGCATATATACCAAAGTATTCTTCAGAAAGGTGAAGAATTTTCATTTAAAATTATGTTTATGAGATTCATCCACATTGATATGTATAAACTTGGTTTATTGATTCACTACTATTTAAAAACTCCACTTATGAAAATACTACCATTTATTTATCCAAATCCTATTGAGTGATATTTAGTTTATAATTTTTCACTATTTTTTTTAAATATATCTTACTGATTTTTTTTACAGAGAAGAAGGGAGAGAGATAGAGAGCTAGAAACGTCGATGAGAGAGAAACAACTGCTATTCAGTCGTTTGGTCATCCCTGACTAACCCCCCTGCCAGCCTGGTTGCCTGATGCAGCCTGCTTGTTCAGTCGTTTGGTTGTCTTTCACTAACCTTCTGCTGGCCTGGTCATAAGCAGCCATCTTGTGAGGGCATGAGGATCAATTTGCATATTACCTCTTTATTATATAGGATTGGCTAAAAGTCTAAAACAAATTTTATCAATAGTTACTGAATACACCTTTAAAGAGAATACTGTTGAAGTTTCACCACTGAGCCCTAGTCAGTGTACTAGTAGATAGAGCACCAGCCTGCACACTGAAGAGTGTCATGTTTGATTCCCAGGCAAGGACATGTACCTGGGTTGCAGGTTCAATTCCTAGCCTGGTCAGAGCACATGACTCCTGCAACATGCCCCAACCAGATTCAGAGATCATATCTGCAACCCAGGTATGTGCCCTTGATGCAGAATCACTCAGGCCAATGCTCTAACCACTAAACCACACAGGCCAGGCTCCATGCCGATTTTCTGAACTGGGTTGTTTAGATTGTTGAATTGTGGAAGTTGGTTATATATTGTGGATGTTAATCCCTTATGAGATATATGATTTGCAAGTATATTTCTTCATATGGCTTAATTTACTGTCTAGTTACATTTCAACCTAGAGAGCTAGCTCTACCATTTCTTGTAGAACAGGTCTACTAGCAGCAAACTCCTCAGCTTTTATTTATCTAGGAATGTTGTGATTTTTCCCCCTCCATTTCTTTTAAGGACAGTTGTGCTGGATATAAAATTCTTAATTGACAATATTTTTCCTTCAGTATTTTAAATATGTCATTTCATTGCCTTCTGACCTCCAGAGTTTTCAGTTACTAATCTCATTGAGGATTCCCTATATGTCACAAGTTGCTTCCTCTGCCACCAAGGCTAATACTATATAATTGTGGCTCTTGGTAAGAATACCTTGTTAACTAGTTTTGATGAAATGCTGTCCATGGGTTTTTGCTTTTGCTATTTGGTTGCTTAATCTTTTTTAAGAGGGGATTCAGAGAAATTAAAAAACCATGGCACCACTGTCACCTTCTTCCTAGATTTTAGAGCCCTTAACATTTTTCTACAGAAAATTTTCTTGAACAAAAGACCTTAAAAACTGTATAACATTTTCAAAATTAAAACAGGTGAAATAAAAAGGAAAAAAAGGATCATTTGGTCTGCTTACCTCAAAAAGTCTGAAAAAGTTGTATCTTGTGTTATAATCAGTCCACAAGACCACCAAAAAGGAATTAATTGAGATGGTGCTAATCATAATTATCTTAAACAGTTGACTCCTTAAGAATTTCTTCACAAATGCCTGACATTGAACATCTCTCCTCCTGTGAAAAAGTTGAATAAGAGGTATGATTACCTCACAACACAGAGATCCCCAAAGAATAAACAGCTTTTTGTAGGAATTAGAGTCGGCTTTCCCCCTTCTGTGAATATACATTTATATATACTTCAAATTTGAAATGAAATACTGAATGAATGACCCCTGAAATATGTATGAGATCACTATCCTCACTCAGTTTCCCAGTTCTTTCTCTCTGGACCTCTGAAACAGAATGGTAACCTCTCCTTCTCAAATAAACAAAGCATCACCTTTATTTACTCATCTGACAAGTTTTTATTGAGTCCTACTACATGCCAGACATTACAGTGGGCACTGGAGGTATAAAATGAGCAAAACTATATACTGTCTTGTAAGGAAAACAGGTAATAATCAAATAATCACCCAGACAGGTGCTTAAAAATCAATGATGAAAGTACAAATGTCAATAAACTTTCCCCAAAATGTTCAGCAGCACTACTAATCAGGGAGATGGAAATTAAGTAAAACTATTATTTTTGTTTATAAAATTAGTAAAGTCTTAAACATGACAATATTTAATGCTGGAAAGATTATAGTGTATTGGAGCATTCTCACAAACTGCCAGGGGGACTGTAAATTCACACTTTTCTGAAAAGCCTTAGAACTGTTCCTATCCTCTGACCCAAGGAATCTACCCCAAAAGAATACAATCTAAAATGCAAGCAGTGACATGGGCCAAGTGTGTTTATCCCAGCATTATATACAGTAGTGAGAACTTGGAAATGATTTAAAAGTCTAACAAAAAGAACTCGTTAAGTAAATTATAGCATATCAATCTCAGGAAATATTATACAGATACTAAAATATGTCTACCCATTTTCCATGATTTAGAAAAATGTTTATGATCCACTGGATAGTAAAACACAAAAACAGCCCTTGCTGGGTAGCTCAATTGGTTAGAGTGTTGTCCCAATACACCAAGGTTGTAGGTTTGACCCCCGGTTGAAGCACATACAAGAATCAACCAATGGCTGAAACTGCTTTGGCTCAGGGGATAGAGCATCGGCCTGCGGACTGAAGGATCCTGGGTTTGATACCGTCAAGAGCATGTACCTTGGTTGTGGGCATATCCGTAATAGAGGATGTGCAGAAGGCAGCTGATCGATGTTTCTCTCATCGATGTTTTTAACTCTCTATCCCTCTCCCTTCCTCTCAGTAAAAAAATCAAGAAAATATATTTTTTAAAAGAATCAACTAATGAATGCATAAATAAGTAGGACAATAAGTCAATTCCATATATCTCTCTGTCTCTCTCTCTCATCAATAAAAAATTTTAACATGAAAACAAAACAAAATATAAAATTCTCTACTCAAAATTATCACAACTGTACAAAAATAGGTAAAAGAAAACTTGACAGAGGGATCTAAAAATTCTAATTAATGTGACATCTAATTAAGGTGATTAAAAAGTAAACTCTATGCCAGTAAATTTTTGTACATACAATCCATGTTTGGTGGAATAGCATATCCATTCTTATTCAGTAAATAAATTATACAAGTAGGAATCATCTTTGAATGATCAAAGATGAGCAGCCTGTGAGGTTGTTTCAGGGAAGAGGTAAGTTGATTTATATTAAAATTAACACTAACAAGAGGAATTAAAGAGTAGGAATATACCTTGTTCATGTGTCAAGACTACTACTTTCTCCATTCTGGGACTTTTATATCTAAAAGGTAGCTATTTATTTTAAGGAAACCAAACAAAAGATTATACTGTTCTTGTACCATTGCTATTGCACATTTCTTAATAAGCAATAGAAAAAGAGGATATTTACTTAATTGTCCTGAGTCTTGCACAGAACATCGATACTTTACCCAACAGGGTACTGAAAATGCCCCTTGTGCGGACACGATGAACTAAATGTCCAGACATTTTCCAAATGTTCAATTTTTATTCCTCACTTTTGTCATCTAACAGAAAATCCCTGCTTAGGGATTTCCTTGGCACCTAGATTGCAGAGACCTCAGAGAAGGATCCACGAGGAGAATCCTTGCTTTATGAGGTCATTCTTGGGCATTCCAGTACATTACTAGTCAGCAGGCCTCTGGAGGGGCAAGCTCCCTAGCCCATCTATCCACAGATTCTCTCTTCCCAAGGACACTGAGCATCTCAGCTCAGCAAGAACAGTTGTGAGCACACTGCAATTGTGAAGTTCCGAGCTAACACTGGGAACCGGAGATAGGCCAGATGAAAACCTCTTCTTCACCAGTACTCTGATCTGATAGACGAAGGCTGTTACAATAAGGAGGGGTGACGGAAGAGGGGAAAGCAAGGAGTTCTAAGAGCAAGGGCACAGCACTGGAAACACCTGAACGGGAAGGAAAGGTTTTGATAGGTTTGGAGCTAGAACCTACGAAACAGAGATTTAATTGGGGCATGGACTGTCCACATATGAACCACCTAGAGTGTAAGGGATGAGCCTATGGGGAGATGCTTTAGGTACAAGAGAAACAGAATTTTTTTGCTCTGTTTGATTCCTGGGATTAATATATTTCCCTTGCTTGCCTTCTCATATCCTCTTTGGTTTTTAAGGCAAATCAAGGCAAAGGGATCTAAGTAGCCCTGTTGTACTAAATCTTCAGTGGCTAAATCAGTCAAATTCCTGGAAACCCAAGTTCTTAGGCCACAAGAAAAGGAGGTGACCACCCACCACCTCCGCTGTCCCGGTGTTCTAAAACAAGTGTATATGACCATTCCTGGCAGAAAAGTAGTCTTGTAGTCAACCCATATACTAAACTGAGAAATAACATCCTATTTACTCAATATTTCCACTTAAAATCATCAACAGTCAGCCCTAATCGGTTTGGCTCAGTGAATAGAGCATCAGCCTGTGGACCAAAGGGTGTGGGTTCTATTCCAGTCGAGGTCACATACCGTGTCTGGGCGCTGGTTGGGACACATCTCTTCATCAATGTTTCATCTCATCTGCGGAAGGCAACCACCAATCAATGTGTTTCTCTCACATTGATGTTTCTCTCTGCCTATCCTTCTCCTTTACACTCTAAAAGATTAGTGGAAAAATATTCTCAGGTAAAGATTAACAAAACAACAACAACAAAACCAACAATCAAGTTTTAAGACTCATTTTAATTAATGTCCCAAGATTCAAATTTTAGTCTCATCTTTTCAGTTTACAGTCTCTCCCTCAGGGATCAGCTCCTCCTAATTCTCCTACAGCCTCCTTTGGTCATATGCCCCCTAATGCCTTCTGGGCTCCTGCCTTACATCCCTATAGTGGATTTCTAGAGCAGTTGCTCAGAGAGAGCCTGAATCAGGTCTGTCTCCACCTGCCCCAATACATCAATGTGCCAAATCCTATTGGGGGATACAGAAAGTCCTCAATGTGTGCTATATGAATATACAAATGAATGGCACCAGAGATCCTATGCTCACTCAAGTAGCTGAGCATAGTAGAATTCCATCTCCAGGAAACCCAACAGTACACTTATGCCTTCCCTTTTTCAGCAACAAAGCAGTGGAGAAACAAAGAGAATAGGAATGTAAAGAATTCTTCATGATGCATGGAGGGGTGAGGAATGATGGCCAGCTGAGAGCAGCAGAGAAGAGCCTAGTTGTCCTTAGTGCACTGCTTCCAACAGAAAACCTCTGCTGCCGAGACTGAGTTGGCTCAATGGATAGAGCTGTCAGTCTGCGGACTGAAGGGTCCCAGGTTCGATTCCGGTCAAGGGCATGTACAGTGGTTATGGGCACATCCCCAGTAGGAGGTATGCAGGGGGCAGCTGATAGATGTCTCTCTCTCATTGATGTTTCTAACTCTCTATCCCTCTCCTTTATTCTCTGTAAAAAATCAATAAGATATATTTAAAAAAGAAAAAAAACCTCTGCTTAGGGATTTCCTCAGCACCCACAGCTAAATGTGGTTCTGAAGTTACTGATGAAGACATCTCATCTGGGAATGGAACTCTAGCAGGTGAATGGGGTCAGAGGTAACAAGCTTATCAGGGTTTACTGAAACCAGCCAGGCCTTCTCATGGACACACGGGCATCCTGGGATGAAAGGGGGCTCTTCTGTCCGTCAGTAGCAACTCACACTCTGCCCGAATTGGGCAGCACGACCCCAGCTGCACACAGCAGGGAAAGTCAGCAGTTAACAGGCATGGCAGCTTTGGTGACTCAAGTCTCCTGGCCCAGGGTCATTCCTTTACTAGTCCCAGTAACTGCCATTGAAACACAAATCTCACATATTAAAGTCAAGCCCTATTTCAGCTCTTGCTGCTCTACAAGAAATTTTACAAACTGGAAGTTACAGAGTTCAACCAGCATATTTTTGAATGCTAAATTAGACAGTATAAGACTATTTCATACCAACACTAGCAGCCCCAATCCTATATAATAAAATCCTAATATACAAATCGAACTAAAGACATAACAACCGGTCACAATGATGCACCCTGACCACCAGGGGGCAAACATTCAATGCAGGAGCTGCCCCCGGTGGTCAGTGCACTCCCACAGGGGGAGCACCGCTCAGCCAGAATCTGGGCTCACAGCTGGCGAGTGCAGCAGAGGTGACAGCAGGCTCTCCAGCCTCTACAGCAGCACTAAGGAGCAGTGAGCTGAGCAGTAAGGTGCAGTAAGCAGGCAACTGGAAAGGAGCAAGGGTCCCGGACTGCGAGAGGGCAGAGGCTGTGCTGAAGGACCCCCACTCCCAGTACATGAATTTCATGCACCGGGCCTCTAGTACTTTAATAAAAGTTCAGGTTTGTGTTAAAAAAATATACATATGCTGCTTTTTGTCTAGAACAAAACATGAAAACCATGCCCAGTCTATGTATCCAAATATTTCCTAAATCTTTTTAACGTCAGAAAGTAACTATTAGAAAAAGAACTTTTATTTCAGGCTGGCCCTGCTTTGTCATCTATGGAAGGCATTGAAGGGGTCATAGGTCATTTCTATTTAACTCCTCTCTACTCTAGTGATCATTTAGAAAGAAAATGGCAGAAAACCAACACTTACCACATCAGAGACACCAGTGCCATCAACAAAGATTTGTAACAGAAACAAATTTTGGGGCCTCCAACTTTGCCAATGTCTCTTTCAAGTTGAAATGTCTGTTACTTGAAGCAACTCTGGGGATTCATTCTGTTAGAATTTACCACAATGAGTATTTCCACAGATTTAATGTGGGACCTTTGATTCTTTCTAGTAAAGTTTGTGAGTTCAAGCAGATGTGTCACCCCTAACATGAACCTTATGTCAACCCTCCATCTAGGTACTGATCAGTAGCTGCATTCTCAGGTCTTCACCATTGCAATTGTGAGCCATATCCTGCTTTCTCTAGTGTGCTATATAGGTATATAGGTATAGGTTAACAGCCAATGAGTTTTGCCTCTCAGACGTACATTTAAAATAGGAAAAGGTTTCCATTCAGGGTACAGTAAAACAAGTTCAATTATGTTACAAGTTCTGTAGACTGCATTGTGTGCCCACCACCCAAAGACTTGACCCAAAGTCAAATCTTCTCCCATCATCATATATTAGGCAGTAATATTCACTCTTAAAATATTTTTTCATGTTTAAAAACTCATGTAAAAAAAATTGAAGTACTGAACTAAAATATTTGGTAATAAAACATATAAGAGTTCCTCAAAATCTATAAATAAGAGTTCATAAAAACACACAGCTTTGCCTTTTCCTCTAAAAGAATTTTAAGAACCATAAGTTCTAGCACCCAGGCTCTGGATCTCCCGGCAGCACAGAGCCTGGGTGGCCTTCTTTTTCTCCCCTCCTTGCACACTCCATACCCACAGGGTAAACCTTACCGCCTCTCCTGGGCCAGAAGCACCAGCCAGGAATTAGCTTCAGAGAGCTCAGCCTCCTGGTCATGTGCCTATAGTTTCTCAAACTGGAGGCTGGGGAAGGATTGCTTGTTGAAATGCAGAGTGAATTTTCTGGCCTCTAAAGTGAGCTGGGTTTCAAAGATGATCCCTATTAAATCCTCCCACAATAATGCTTCTAGGGATTAACACGTGTTCTTGGATGAATATATGTACACATTCTTGGATGAATATATATGTAACCTACATTCTAAGCTCATTAATAAGTATATTTCTTTTTTTTTTAAATATATTTTATTGATTTTGTACAGAGAGGAAGGGAGAGAGATAGAAACATCAATGAGAGAGAGTCATCGATCAGCTGCCTCTTGCACACCCCCCACTGGGGATATGCCCGCAACCAAGGTATATGCCCTTGACCGGAATCGAACCCGGGTCCTTTCAGTCCCCAAGCCGACGCTCTATCCATTGAGCCAAACCGGTTTCGGCAATAAGTATATTTCTGAGTTCCTTCAAATAATGCTGTTATTGTAATTTTTGAATAATAGATTATTTATATTCCATTTACTCCTGTCATTAACTCAGGGAGTAAATACAGCTCATTACTAGATAATACCCAAGTAGTTTCTAACTCAACGGCTATAGACCTTCAGTTCAGAGGTCAGAGGTTCTGGAAGCTATGGACAAAACACTTGTCCTCTTCCTTCAACTGCCTGCCTGAAAAGTAAGAATAAAACAAAGACAGCTCACCCAATTTTTGTGACTTTGTATCTAATAACAGCAGCTAAAGAATCAATTTTAACTTCATGAGGATTGTTGTAGATGGTTACAATCCTTTACCTACAGAGTTTATTATTCCTTTTGTACCTTACAACTACTCTCTAACATAATGCATTTGTAAAGTCAACAAAATCACTTGAATTTCTGGGTTATAAAATGTATGAATGCTCCTCCATCCCAATTTCTGGTCTTTAAAAATGTTACTTCTCATTTTTAATACTGTATTATTAATACAATTATCTCGGTTGGCTTGTCTTATTATATATGTGATTTAGATATAATGAAAAATACCTCAGAATCAAATTTAAATAATTTTGTATTTAAGCACTGATTTTATAAAATGTGGTATATAGGCGAAATAAATTTTCAGCGTAATTTGTTCATGTAAATCACCCTCAAAGTACATTACACCTAAGAAGTGTATAAGATTTTACAAGCATTTTGAAAGGAATCACGAAGAAGCAGCTGCTTTTTCAATGAACTTGGCCAGTTTCACGTCTCTTTTGGTCAGCTGACCACAGTCATGCGAGGTGAGAGTTATCTGGACCTAAGAAAGAAAGAAGCAGTTTTTAAAACCATGACCTGTGATTTGTGGTATTCTTCTTTTGTGGTTCAGAAATCAATCTATTATGCAATGTTCATATTTAAGAACTGGTCAGAGTAAATCATTTAGAAAACATGAATAAAGAGGACATTTCCAAAGCCCAGTAAACTCCAGGGGCACAGTCAGCTTCAGGCTGGCCCCAGCAGCTGCCCAAGAATGAAAAGGTTCTCTCATATGAAGGGCAATTCAGTTGCCAGAATCTCAAACTTTGACTCTAGAAAAAAAAAGACTGAGATTTTATTTGAATTCCCATTACTTTAACTATACTCACTATTTTCAGGACATTGAGAAAAACCAAGCTATCAAATGTAGTATCTTTGCAACATTAAAAAAGCCCATTTCCAAATTAGGAAAGTGAGGTGAGGGTGGGATGAAAGAATAGACTCTCGCTTCTTTGTAAATCAATTAAAAGGTAAAAGCAAAGTTATGGGCAAGGAGAGACAACAATGAAAGAAAAGTTTATCCTGGTTCCTGCATGCTCTGAATTACTCCAATAAATCACAAAAATATGAAATTTTCTCTTTATTCAGAGAGAAAAAAGAACCTTAGATAAAACTAGATAAATTCTAAATGGTATGACCATAGGCAAGGACACTTTTTGAGGGATATTCTTCTCACTATGCCCCTTTAAAATTAATTGATGAAATCTTTTCAGTCTGCTGTTTGTCTTAAGAAGGTCAGTTCCCACTGCAGAAACAGCATTTAATAAAGTTATTATTTAAAGCACAGTTCTTGAGCAAATTTACCTTGAGATATTTACTTCCAATCTTTTCGATAATTTACCTTAAGAGGATTTAACATTTTATCTGCATGGCTGATATTCAAGTTTAATTCAGGCGCCTAATATGGCCCAACTTTCATATTAGTTTCAATAGAAGACAAACATGAAAATAAAGGGCTTAGTCACAGTTCTCTTGAGCAGATCTGAAAATCTGTTACTAAATTGCAATAATACACAGGGGTTCTGAGAAAAAAAAAATAATAATACTTTCCTAAACACAATGACACTTAGCTGTATAGGATGACAAGGAAGAAAGAGGTTTCCTAAACTCCACAATTAAGGTGATCCCAAAATAAGGCAATTTCATTACCTTGTTGTAGGCATTGAACCATTCTGGGTGATGATTCATCTTCTCTGCTTGTAGAGCAACTCGAGACATAAAGCCAAAGGCCTGCGTAAGATGAAGTCGAAAGTGATTACTGCACTGCCCTCTGCCCTGGACCTGAGACCCCAGAGCAATCCAACCAGAGAAAGACATGGGTAGGGTCCTTCGGGGAGCCTGGAGGAGCCAAATATGAAAGCGGCTGCTCTCCGCAGAGCTGGGAGCTGGGTAACGGCGTGGCAGGACCATGGCCTGCTGCTCGATGGTGAAAACAATCAGGCTCAAATAAACAAAGCAGGAAATTGGTCTCACCCATTGACCTGTCTGGACTGTTTAATTGTCCTCAGGACTAGACTCTCCAAAATAGCTGGGGCATAATTTCCCTTTACCTAGTGCCCTGGACCCCAACCCTTAGGAGCAACTCTGGCAGCACTGCTCTTTGTTTTTAGTGACTGGGTTGCTAACAAGGTACCAACCATAGGACTATGGCAGAATGTTTTTTGAGAGTGTCTTAAACCAAAGCACGGACAGAAATGAACTTCCCCGTTCCGTTTCTCAGGCACGTCAGGAGGGGATGAAAGACTCTTTGTTGGTATCCAGAATGAAACAGAAGCCTGGCTTGCCTGCTGGGGGTCTTTTTGTCGCTGCCCAGCACTGGCGATTCAAGCAGAAAGTGCCCCACCTTTTGGCAGAGGGCTGCAGGCCCAGCCACAGGTGGAAGTGTGGACCTGGAGGGCTCTGTCTCATAACCACAGGGAAAGTGCAAACTTAATTTTAAAAAGCAGAAGGCAGCCCGGGCCAGCATGGCTCAGTGGTTGAGCATCAACCTCTGAACCAGAAGGTCACAGTTCAATTCCCAGTTAGAGCACAAAGAGAGAGAGTTTCTCTCTCTGTCTTCCCTCCTCTCTGAAATCAATAAAAAAAAAAATAAAATAAAATAAAATAACATTTTTTTAAAAAGCAGAATGCAAACTTGTCTTGAGAGGGGGAAAACTTTTTATGAGGGTAATTGCAAACAATAGGAGAGTCTGTCTCTATTGTGCCCAGAAGGCAGAAATATTTGGAAAGGCTGTAAGGTAAGGTCACATTCATCACAAAGGTACAGTGGAATTCACAGAGCAGTCCCCATTACAGCCACAGAAATAAATATTTAACTTCATTACCCCATCCACAAAAACCAATCTGATGTTAGCTGCATTGTTTTTGGATCACCAAAAGGTAAAAGAGCACATTTCCAAGTTAAAAGTGAGAAATATGGAAGATGCCATTTTAAATAATTTCATTCACAACAGCCCCTATCTCAGAAGTCACTTTATTAGGGGAAAATTTCCATTTTGACATTTAAAGTCTAAATGAAGGAAATTCAAGCAAAATCCATTTAACCAAGTATGGAATTATCAGTGGGAAAGCACTATTTCCTCTCTACCCCTTCTCATCGCAACAGTTCCCCCCACCCCATCCATAGTTTCGCTTTCCATGGTTTCAATTACAGCGGTCAACCATGGTCTGAAAATATTAAATGGAAAATTACAGAAATAAACAATTCATAAGTTTTAAATTGTGCACTGTTCTCAGTAGTGTGATGAAATAACACTACTTGCACCGTCCCGCTCATCCTGCCCGGGACATGAATCATCCCTTTGTCCAGTATATCCACACTGTATGCCCTACCCGCCCATTAGTCACTTAGTAGCTGTCTCAGTTATCAGATTAGTCATCAAAGAAAAAGAGACCACAGTCACATAACTTTTATTGTAATATACTAGGACCTGTTGCATGAAATTCATGCCTGGGTAGTGTCCCTAGGCCTGGCTGACAATCAGGGCCAGTCTGATCACTGGCACCCACCTTGGCTGGCCTGGTGCCTGTGGGCTGGGGAAAGCTACTGCATTGAGCATCTGCCCCCTGTTGGTCAGTGCACATCATAGCAACTGGTTGTTCTGCCAGTCATTCTGCTTTCAGTCCATTTGCATATTAGGCTTTTATTATATAGGATGTTGTAACTGTTCTATTTTATTATTAGTTATTGTTGTTAATCTCTTACTGTGCCTAATTTTTTAAAATATATTCTATTGATTTTTTACAGAGAGAAAGGGAGAGAGGGATAGAGAGTTAGAAACATCGATGAGAGAAGAATCATCAATCAGCTGCCTCTTGCACACCCCCCACTGGGGATGTGCCCGCAACCAAGGTACATGCCCTTGACCGGAATCATACCTGGGACCTTTCAGTCCTCAGACCAACACTCTATCCACTGAGCAAAACCGGTTTTGGCACTGTGCCTAATTTATAAATTAAACTTTATCAGTGCTGAGTATGTATAGGAAAACATAGTATATATAGGGTTCAGTACTATCTACAGATATAGGCATCCATAGGGGTCCTGGGATGTATTGTCCACAGATAAAGAAGTATACTATAATCTGATTTTCTAGACTATGTGAGGGGAAAGGACAAGTCAAATGTGAAAGTCAGTTTTAATTACCCAAACACAGAATTAACTTATTAAATTATGTATGAGAATTTTTACTGTTTGTCTATAATTCCTTATTTTTGTTTAGCTTTAGCTTACAAGATTAACCACGTCTGGGAGACAGTAATATAGTCGTTAAGGATATGTGCTTTTGAGCTAGTGAGTTTTGATTCAAATCCCAACTCTACTAAATTGCCATCAATTTAACTCCAAGCTTTTGTTTTCTCATCAGTAAAATGGGGATAATAAAAAGCTCATGTAATCATTCTAATAAAAAATGAGATAGAGGATATCAATGTACTTGGCACAGCACTAGGCACAAAGTAAGAGGTCAATAATGGCACATACTGCTGCCACTGCTGCTTCCGGCCGAACTTGACAAAATGGAATGATGGATGACAAGCCTTCCCAAGCCCTGAGAATCTAAGATTTCAGTTGGTGTCTCCCAGAAGAACAGCCCTTTCCCTTGTCCATGTGCCAGGACCAGAGATTGATACACATTTCCCTGACAATAGAGAATATACTGTAGGGTAACACTATAATGAACATTTACTGGGGAAAACAGTTTAATGACAATCAGTGAGATGGACAGTCAGTCACTGCCCAACTTCTTAAACCTTTGTAGCCACTGTTTCTTTGAACCATGTTATCCTAAAAGGTCCAAAGTGATACTTAGAATCCCTTACTATTTCCCAAGAGCCAAATGGATCAAATGGATGATTTTAACATGGTTAGAAGTGCTCCTCAAATCTTGGACTACAAGTAAGCATACTAGCAAAACCTATTTCATGTTCTGTTTTAAGATATTACTTAAAACAGAACACCGATATACAATGTAAAAAGGGAGGCCTATCCAATAAACCCTCTAACTTTGTATTTTCCTAAGTTTTATATAATTCCCTCAACCATCACCTAATATTTGCATTTAATAAAATATTTTTTTAAAACATTTATACAAGATTTACTCCTAATAAGCCATTTACACAAGATTTACTCCTAATTCCTGCTTAGGAAAAGAACACACAAACTACTCTTGGAACAACGAGGCTATTCCATAGCGCTTCTTCCATATAACAAAACCAAATAATCCTCAAAATAGTTATTTTAAATCCAGAAATTAAAAACATCCTGAACAATGCACATTTAAATTAAAGTAAAAGAATTTCTGTAAAAAAAAAAATGAGTGGATAGGAGAGGAGAAAAGCAAAACCTCAAAGAGGAATTCTGATGATCTGAAACATAATAAAGAAAGAATATGACTCAAAAGAAAGCTTAGCAGATGGTGAACAGCATCTGTCCCTTCTTTCTAAGATTTTTTACACTCCTAACTACTTATTACCAGTATGCCAGTTGGAATCTAAAGGTCCTGAACTAGCTACAAGTACTGGCTCTCTAAAACCATTCCATAAAGTTCTAATCACTATGTTATACACCTGAAACTAATATAATACTGTATATCAACTGTAATCAAAAATGAAAAATTATTTTTTAAAAAGGAAGCTGAAAACAGCCCAAGGCAGAACAGAAATCACTAGCTATCCAGTAAGAACTTACAGACCAGGACTGAGAAAATAGGCAAAATAAAGTACAAATCAATAACGGTTTATAAGAATTCAAAAATCATGAAAACAAGATTTAATATATAGACAATTATTATCAACAAGAGAACCAAAATTCCCAGAAAAAAATAGAAATATAAGACAAGAAAATTTTCCAGAAATAAAAGATTTAAATCTATAGATGGTAAGAACTCAACCATGTATATATAACTATTAAAGAAGAAAAAATATCCTTTGAAGAAAAAAAAAAAGATCAATTAACCTCTAAGGATAAGAAGAATCTGATGGACTTCAACCTTCCACACAGCAACTTCAAAATATATAGAAGTCAGGTGAGCAATGCTTATCAAAATTGTAGGAAATGAAAATGCAAAAAAAATTATACCTAGCTAAATTGAAATGTTCAAAATTAATGCAAGAGACATAAAATTTTTAATACAGTAATTCAGGGAATAATTCCCATTCATCCTTCTTGAGGAAACTTTTTTTAAGGGTGAAATATAAGAGATGAATGAAGAAACCATACCAAAGGTATTGGCAGTGGGCAATAAATTCACTCAGCTCTAGAAATACATTTAAAACAATTGTGGGGGTTATAGTCACAGAATGAAATGCAAGAGTTATAAACTATTAGGTCTAGTAATAATTAACGTCGTTTTCTAATACTTTTTTTAAATCGAACTTATTTAAACAATACAACAAAATTTAATCAACAATATAGTTGCTGTTGTTTTCTACTACTTGTGCCCAACGCTCAGTTAGCATTTTAATCCCTCTGTTGTAAAATTCTTGTGATTTTGATGCAAAAAATTCGGTCAATGCATTTTTGAGGCATTCTTCATTATTAAAATTTTTTCCAAGAAGAAAGTTTTGCAAAGAACGAAACAAATGGTAATCAGAAGGGGCAATATCAGGAGAATATGCAGGTTGAGGGAGAACTTCCCATTCCAACTGGCGCAGTTTTTCAGCAGTGATTCTTGCAGTATGTGGTCGTGCGTTATCGTGGTGAAGAATTACGCCCTTCCGATTAATCAGCG